TTTTTGAATCGGAGCTTCGGTTTGTATATGAGCCGATACTTCAGGCTGTTCTTGACCCAGAGCTTCAGGCTGTTCTTGACCCAGAGCTTCAGTTTGTTCTTGACCCAGAGCTTCAGTTGGTTCTTGACCCAGAACTTCAGTTGGTTCTTGTTTTACTTCAAAAGTTTCAGTTTGTTGATCGATAAAATTTTCATCAATTGGTTGAGAAGATTGTTTTTTATTATATCTCAAATTCAATCTTTCTTCTCTTGATAAACCAGCAGTGTAATCAGGTGCTTTATCATCATTTAACCTTTTACTTTGTCTTCTTTCGAATCTTCTTTGAGCAGCAAATTTTAAGTCTTCTTCTTCTTGTAATTTTCTTTCTTGTTCTTCTTTTATCCTTTCTTGTTCCTTTGCTTGCAATCTTGATGATTTTTTCCTAGTTGCAATTAATCTTGACATTTCAAAATCTTTACGACGATTGGTAATAATTTTCCTCTTTTTCAATTCTATATTGAAGTAATTTTCAATGAGGTTTTTGTTTGATAATTTATTATAGATATTTTTAAATTTTGACGATTTTTTCATTTTAATTGATTTAAAAAATCACTAAATTCATAAATATTTGAATAAACTAATTCAAATTTTACTTCGATAATATCAAATTGTTCAAATTTGAAAAAAATTTCTGGATTTGATGGAGATAATTTTCTTTTCTTTGGAATTGATAAATTTGGATAAGTTATAATTCTCTTATATAAGCAGGTATCATTAAAACATAATGTATAATCTTCTGATTGACTTGGTTTAACAATTTCCAGATAGATTGAATTTAATCTAATTAAATCATGACTTAATTTATTTTTATCAATAAAATCTCTGAAATCTTGATATTGAACAATTTCTTTAATACACAAGTAAAAAATTTCAATTTTATCCTTAATATTCAAATTATCAAATTTAGGTAAATTAACATCAATTTCAAAATTAGTTTCATTTTCATCATCTTCATTACTACCACCCAAGGGAGTATTTGAACCAAAATACATTCTAAAAATTGGTTCAAACATATTGAGTGATTGAATTTTTTTACCTTGAATTTTTGAAATTAAAGATAATTTTAATTTATTTATGAATAAAATCATATCATCAATTGGAGCAGGATTAACCATATTCAATAATTCAATTTCAAATAAGTCATTATCAAAATATTCGCTTGATAATTTAATATAACCACGACATTGATACAACCAATTAATAACATAAATATATTTAAAATCTTCTCTTAAACCTTTTAAATCGGTGAATTTATTAGATAAATGAATGGGATAGATCTTAGATAACGAATGACGTTGTTCCAAAGAACCAATAATCAATCCATTAGCTGGATGATCGGTTGGAGTGTTAGATTTACTCATTATTAGCTAATGGACATAAAGAAGGTGTAGTTGGGATTTACGCGTTGATTTTTTCAATCGATCAAAATGACCTGTAGCATTCGACCTGTAGCATTCGACCTGTAGCATTCGACCTGTAGCATTCGACCTGTGGTATTCGACCTGTAGCATTCAACGTGTATCATTCGACGTGTATCATTCGACGTGTATCATTCGACGTGTATCATTGCACAGGTATCAACAAGTTTGTTAGAATTTACGATACATTCAGGACATACAAATAAATAAATAATAAATACATATTAATAACCTATACAAGAACTAAATATCATTATCATACAACACCTGGTTGTTCTATTAATTTAATAATTTTTTTAAACCATCATTTTTTGATTTAATTTTAAGTATCTCTTCGCTAATTTTAACCAAAGCAGTGTGTTTTGATAAATTAGGTAAACCATCTTTATTAAGTTGTCTTCTCTTCAGTTTCTTCTTTGATTTTGATATCGGACAAGCACTAACTTTATGATTTTTATAATCTTCCACATTGGTGATTAAACGCAAACAACGATCATAAGCCAATTTACATAATTGTCTTCTTTTTTGTTCAGAATTAGAGTGATTTAATCGTTTTTGTTCCAATGTAAGCAATGGTTTTGTTGATGATCTTCTTCTCTTTTTAGTTGGTTGTTGTTGTTGTTCTTCATTATCCGAAGAGGTAGGTGGAGATATTATTGATAATTGTGGAGGTTTAAATCCAACCGCCAGCGATTGTCTTGAATCCAAAGGCGTTGGAAGTTGTCTTTGTTCTTCAAATTTAGATAATGATTTCAATTGAGGATGAGAAAATGCTTCAGTAATCTCCTTCTTCAATAAGTCATGTATTGAATGTTCCTTCTTGTCTTCGTCAATACTTGGCTTCATGGTATGTAAATCAAATAATTCATTAAATTCACTCAAATTTCCATGTTGATAACTTTGATTATAAAATTCAAATGGATTACTATTATTAGTGGCCAAATTATCTAAAAATTTCTCTAATGCATTCGATTCACTATTGCTGAAAAATTCATCAATCTCCTCTGGCTTCTGTTCCTCCTCTGATTCATCCGACGAAGAGTAGTTCCCATCGATAATCGCCTGGCGATGGAAATCAAATTGATTGGGTTGTTGACTAAACTCATTCATATATTGTTGATTCAACGCCTGCATCGATTGTAAATGCTCAATAGCATTAGTAGCCTGCTTCTGTTGTAGGGTTGAATACTTATTATAAGCTTGTTCGAAATTCATATCGGTAGATAACATATCCAAAAAGTTAGTCTCTTTTATATCCATCAAATTAAACTCTGTCATTCTGTAAACATAGGTTTTTTTTCGTTTATTGGAATTGTCTTTTATATTTATATTTTGTAACTATCTTGATTAGCTTTTCTGGGGTAAATTATAATAGTTTCAGTTATATTGTATGTAAATTGCTAAAACGTTAAATGACTAACTAGAAATAATTCCTTTTTTTTTTTTCTTTTGTATGAGTATTCTGTCACTTTCGTTCACTTTTTCTTTTTCTTTTTCTTCTTTTATTTTTTTTTTTTTTTGTTAAGTTCCTTCTTTTGAAATGACCCCACAAAAACCATAGATTTCTAAGTGAATAATAATGGTTTTGTTTATCCTGAATAATTATAACTGACTAAATGAGGGGGTTGTAGCCATTCTAGAGCCCTTTTAAGCAGTTATTCTGATTTTATTTTCTGTTATTCCATTGGTCCTTTTCTCTTTTTCGCCCAATTTATTTTTTTTTTTTGAGAACTTTCCAAGCCGGCCGTGTGCAGGAACGCGCTTCGGGGCATCAGCGGACATATAATGCACGCTACGGGAGCACAGCGACGGAGTTTTCCTGCGAGTACGGGCGTACCCCTCAGCAGCCAGGCCCGCTCCCCCACCTTCAGGCCGCGACCGGAACTGGTAGAGTGGTGGTCACGTGTGTTTGTCAGGGTTTGTCCTGCCAGTTCCGGTCGGAGTTGTTATGCGGTAATGAGAAAACGGCCGTGGTTGACTAAGTTCAATTGTCTAAGACCATGTAGGGTATACTAAAAGGGAGGAATTAAGGTGGGATATAATAAGTAGCGAGGCGTAGATCAATGCAAACATCCTCCCTTTGTCGTACTGGTTCGTATTGGGGAGATTCAAGTTGGTATCCGTTTATTTCCCGTAGGGTTCAAGGGCATTTGCAGCCACCGAGCAAGATAGAGCAATTGAGGGGATCTTACCTGAGAAAACCAAGATCTAAATGATCATTTACTCTATAGAGAAGAATTGAACATCCAGAACATCCATAATAATGCAACCGAGTAGTAAACATTGACAGCAAGGGTTGTATTGATGAAGCGAAAGCTTAACCGTTTTCTATTTTTTGTTTACATTAATGGATATAAACATAAAGACGAGAGATTGTTATGCTACCTTTTGAGATCGTCTTATATTAAGCATATATCTATAATAAAGCGTATATCTATAATAAAGCGTATATCTATAATAAAGCGTAGTAATTACATGGATGGGTCAGTCACTTAACGATCTTGAAAAACCAAAATCAACCAATTTGATTGATTTTGTAAATTTAAAATGATATTAGGTTATAAATCTTCCCGATATTGCTGAATTTGTATAAAAAGGAGAAGTAGAAAACTATCGGTACGTTTTTCCTACTGAAAGGAGCAAATAAAATTAGGGGAACCTCATGTTTGTTCTACTATAACATAATGAATCTAAAAAAATATTGGTTAGGTAGCTATAAATTTTTCTTTGGCTGTTTGTACAGAGGCTTTTGGTTCGTGACTCGGGGAAGGTAAGTTGACGGCAAGAAAAACCATCTACTGTAGAGTATTTTGTATAGTATACTAAGTTGCAACATACAGCCAAAAGTTGCTCAAACATTTCGTAGGAAGAGTTTTTAACCATTTGCAACTGACCCTGTTATTTGCTGAATCAAATCCGGATATATCTCTTCAGTAGCTTCACCTTCTTCACCTACTTTATTTTAAAGTGAATAAGCCCGCACCATAACCAGTAGTCGTCCCAATGGTAAATCAAGATCGATTTCCTCGAGTTCTGGAGTTGGTCACAATGAAAAATCAGTTTATGAAATGAATGATCTATGTTTAATGCAATTGTTCATTGGTTAAACAGTACATCCGAAGTGGTTAATAAAAAAGAGTTCCCACCAATTCAACAAGACGAACTGTTGGCAGAAATCTTAATTAATCCAACCGGGATAGTAAAGAAGTCTCAACGCCATAATTCCATTCAAGTCTCATCTAATCCAATTCACAGTCTTTAGATCATGTTATCAATAATTCAATCAATTTTTTTTATTAAACTATCGTAAAATTTAAAGTTCGAACTGCCATGAAAATTGAAACAATATATTTTCCAATACAAAAACCTTTTTTCACCAGATGAACAATATTTTTATAATCATTTGCGCGTATATCTTTCTTTTGTATACTTTTTACTCTGCTTGATCACATATTAGACAATTTTGAATTTTGGGTTAGCATCTAGGCTTGATTCAATAAGTACATTTCTTAAATGCTAATTTTCAATATTCAAATATAAATTGGGTGGTTGGTGTAGTGGCTAGCATATTTGCCTTCCATTGGAAGTTAGCAGATGACATGGGTTCAATTCCCGTACCACTCATTTTTTTTCTTTTCTCATTTGTATCGTCCCATATCCACAACTGAACCGTTGCATATGTGGAAAGTCAAGTGTTTAACATCCCCTGCAGTAAGGTAGCGGTTGCGCAGGTCTCACTAATGAAAAAAACTGCTTAAATGATCTACTTTATCTGGTTATGTGGGTCAAACCCCAGAATGCCGACATAGTTTCCAAAAATAACAACCAAAAAGGTCAACCATAAAACCAATAAGACATTAGTCAGATACGGACTATAACGTGATCGGTTTTAGATTATTATATTACCTAGATCAATTTTAACTTCTCTATTAATCTCATTGCAGATAAACTAAATAATAAAACCAAATAGTAAAAAACTATATAATACAAAGTATTTAATGAAGAACCTCTCAAAGGCCTATACCTAAGCCAATGACGTAGTCACTAGTGTCCATAGTTTAAATAGAACACCCCACTGACCTGGGAGTATCTAATTGTACATTCGTGATATATATGGGATGGCTCGGTGAAGCGATTGCCCAGGTAGTTCTTACAAATATTATCATACTTCATAATAGTGGTCTTTCTTGGTTGATCTAGTATGAACTAGATAGGAAGACCATCTACAGAACCTGGTGGCATGACATATTTGAATGTAGCTATTCTTCTCGTTTTTGGCTGCTAAAACTTTCAACCCTCACCTCAGATATCTTGTTACGTGATTGAACCAGTGTTTTTGTCTTTCACGGGAAAATAAGAAGCCTATAGCCTGAACATGAACTAATATAGATGACCTTGATTAATATATTGCTTCACAGTCCCATTCTTCGAAATTATTTAATTTTATCTATAGTTTAGCGTGACGTTTATAACGCTTTCTCTTTCATTTTCTATCAAAATATACCAAGATTTTGTTTAAAATCTTGCAAGTTTCCTCTATATTTAGTGTATTGCTTTCCCGAAAAAGTCATTTCTAGGTTGTATTTTGAAGGAATCTCGAAGGCTAGGTTCCCTGAAACCTATTTGAAATTTTTTTTTAAAGCTGAAGATTGAGTTCATTTCTTCGTCAGCATCTTATGAAGGGATGGCTAGTAAATAAATAATCTAAAGCCTGAACTACAAAAGAGGGTAAAACTGTTTTCAGATAAGTATGATTCAAAGACTTCCAGTTTTTATATCAAACTTTAAACTGTCAGTATATGAAAAATAGTTTCTCCATACACTTCAAAGAGCTTGTTTTATATATAACTACGTAGAAATTGTAACTGCTAGTTGCTAAAATATAACTAATTTGAGACAAAGTCTTTCGCTGGGGAAACTAGTGGTAGTTAAATATCTATTTTGAAGGGCTGTTGCATCAGTTGTTTATCATTTTAGGCTCCTTGGTTTGCAAGCTTCCTATATTGTTCTCTGTATAACGCACGTTTCTGGTATTAATCCAATATTATATGACCATATTTTTTCTTTACAGAGTTTAGTAAAATGAAATACTTGAATCCTCTAACTTCCAAAAATAGCCTATAAATGAGTTGGAGTTGATAAAGTACAACTGATAACTACCCTCCTTACGTTGAGGTTGATAATTTTCGGATTCAAATCTCAGGAGCCAATAACTCTATTCACTTTTAAATCTTCGTGGTCACTGTTCCCAGTGGTATTCTTAGAAAGCTTTACGTGAAATCTCTTGAATTTTAGTTCCTGGGATATTTTCTTTAATAGTCGAAAGTACATGGGGAATATGACCGTCAAATAAGGAAACAGTTACAGTGTTTTGTTTTTTTACTATTTTAAGATAGAACGAGGATCGAAAACACAGTTAGGTGAAAGATTAGCGATTTTTTGACATTCATTAGCATTTTATTGGTATTTTTTGCAAAACTCTCTTCTTTTGCATTTTATATATATTTCAAAGTATTCTCTAGATATGGGAGGCCGTATGAGAAATAAGCTAGCAAAATAATTATAACAATTTAATAACAGTATTCCAGAATAATCCTTTGAAATCCAAAGATTGCTTTTGTGTCAGTGACTTTTTCTATGCACAAAATTAATAATTTTTCAAATAAGACCAAAAATCTTACTTATTCAAAGCTAAATATTTGGAAAAGGTTATACTCAACTCTAAAATTTGCTTGTAAAAAAATTCAGAAAAAAACACTTTTTTCAAAGAAAATATAGTATTAGCCTTTATAAATATCCATGTGTTTTCTTTGACATGAAAACATCCGTGATAGTTTAGTGGCTAGAATTACCGTTTGTCGCATGGTAGACCGGGGTTCAATTCCCCGTCGCGGAGCATTTTCTTACCATTCACTGCGCAAATGGTTTAGTGGTAAAATCCAACGTTGCCATCGTTGGGCCCCCGGTTCGATTCCGGGTTTGCGCATTTCTTTTTGCATATCCTATTTCCCCATAGATAGTCTATTCATTTAGTTTTATGTTCAGTAGGTTTGAACCGTCAAAATAACTGCAAATATTTAAAATAACTGCAAATATTTACCAAAAATTAGTTACCACCAGGAAGGAAGAGATTTCGCGACAATCTTCACTATGGGTGTACGGAGGACAAAACCTGTCAAGCATAGTTTTTTTCTGCCTGAAGCATAACATATTTCTATATATGCCAAAAGCAATACATGATAAAAGACAATCTGGTCCACTCTGAGCCAGTGGTACATCTAGTTTAAGATAAAAGTTGCTTCAGCTAGAATGTATCAATTGTAGAACAGCGTTTGGCTTTAGAGAGTATATTTCTCGAAGCAATAGAACATCCTGTGTGTGATTTTGACTGTGTTATTTGAGCATACACTTGGTGTTTCAGACTTGTAACCTTATTATAGTATGATTTTGATATTTAAATGAGGGAGATCGAAGTAAAATATTTTCAGCTTTTCTATCAACTACAAAGGTTTTTAGCGACGAAGAGCGAAATCAGAAAGATGGCATTATTGAACAAAAAATCAAAAGATCAAAGGCATAGTGAAACACCAGATGACGATACACACTCAGTCTCTGGGGTCCATAGAACAAGTCAAGGAAAAAACAAGGAAGTATTGAGTCGAAGCCAGTAAGACTTGAAGGATTGTATAGTTCCAAAACGAAGTCTAGTGAATTTCCTTTGAGTATCTTACCAACAGGAAAAGAACCACATGTTGATAAGGTGAAAGGGGAGGGCCCATCACTGTGGAACTTATCAGATGAATTCAAGAAGCAGAATAAGGAATCTCTTGATCTCGTTAAGCTAGCAAAGTCGCTAGACGAAAAGTTTTCAGAACAGGCAGATCCAGAAGAAGATCCAGAAGAAGATCCAGAAGAAGAGTCAGAAGAAGAGTCAGAAGAAGAGTCAGATTCATATTCAGATTTAGATTCAAGCTCAGGCTCAGACTACGATTCAAATGGTGTTAAAAAATGCCTGCCCCAATCAAGCCGAGTTGAATACAATGAGATATTCATCAAAGAAATGAATAAGTTACCAAATGATTTACAAGAGTACGTTGGATCACAGTTACAAGGAATAAAAAACTCCATGGAGAAGACAAAAATCTTGAAACGCCTTTTGGAATATGGACTTGTAATGATACGAGATGAACCTTTTAACATTATACCAGTTTACGTTTGGGATTTAAAAATTTCACATACGTTATTTTACCAATTTTCAGGATTGTGTAAACATCCTTGTAACAAGGAGATTTTGAATCATTTAAAGATATCTAGTATTAAGTCACATGTGTATGGTATTACCCAATACATTTTGTTTCTAACTAAGGCCGGCTATAATACTATCGAAGTATCTGGTGATCTATTGGTTAAATATATTTCTTCTCGGAGAATGGTACATGGGAAGGGCACTGGGAAGCCCTTAACAGTCGGACACATGAAGAAAATTCGAAGTGCAATGCTCTACCTTAGAAAAATTTGGGCTAATTACCTAGTCAAAGAGATTTCGGATGATAAAGCCAGGACTAAGGAGTTCGATCGATTGAAAGCGTTGCCAAATTTAACAGCGATAGATAAATACATAGACTACAAAGAAGAACACCCCGACCAATCTGACGAGGACTCACAAGAAATGAATCCTAAAGAACCTGATAACTCCGTCAACTCAAATAAGGATTCGACATATTCGAAGGCCGCGTTTCTGACGACTCAACAGATTTTAGAGCAAGTTATGGAATCAATGGTTTCAAAAGTAGCGAATGTCAACCAAAAAACATATGATTCAATTATGCTGTCACACGATATCATGATCAGTAATTTGAAATTGATTCCAGATATTTGTTATGAAAGCAAACAGATTAAAGCAGGGTTAGAAGAAATCAAATTAAAAACCAAAAATTCGAATGAAATTCAAGATAGTTTAGAGAAGAAGATGGGCCTTTTGGAGAGTAAATTGGATTCTTTGACTACCATGATTTATGATAAAAGATTGGTTCAGGGCCTTTCTTCTAGCTCTGGTAGTCTACAAAGTAAAGATTCTTTCCAATCAGGATCAAATGATGGAGACAATGTTGAAGCTTCCTCAAGTGAATTAGAAATGGGCTCGAGCAAAAAACGCCCAAAGAATAAAAAATCAAAGGTATGTGTGAAAAAAGCAAGAAAAGAGCATGCTCCAAAGTCCTTATGACGTTTCGATATGTATCAATCAACAGTGCCCCAACTTGTGGAGCAATGGTATCATACAGTTGGTGAAAAACTTTCCATTGAGGAAAGAGAAAGAAAATACGGGAACTCTTGGAGAAAGGATCCAAACACTAGTCAAAATTATTACAGAAGAAATAGGATCATTAACTGGGTAAACTCAATAGCTGAAGAAAATAGTTTGAGCCGAAATCAAGCTAGTAATATCCTTGAATACTTTAGAATTAAAGATAAAGCCACGCTATCCCAAATTGCAATGTTTAGAGAATCAGAGAGTTTGGAAGAAGAGATAATTGAATTAGCTGAGGATTCGAGAGTTGAAGAAAAGTTAAGAGAAATTGGTCTAAATTTTGCCAGAGATGCAGACTATGAAGTATACTAAACAA